CCTGACGGCTGGGAGGCCCCGCCCCGGGCACGCTGAAGTTGAGCTTTACCAGCCCGCATCCCACCAGTGCCCTCTCTAGGATGAGTTACTTAGAAAGGCTGGAGTGAAGTTTTTCAGCGAGACTATCTACTGACTGGTTTATATCTTTGCACAGCCAAAGAGATCCCATAAGAAAGTTATTTAATCTTTTTCCATAATGGCAATCTGCAGTTGTCTCACTCCTTTGCTGCCAAGCAATATTGTGATTTCAGCTTTGATCCGCCTTTGCTATTTTTCCCTTCATCTAAAAGCACCATTTGGGAATTTCTCTGCAAAAGTCTGTCTTTTTTTTTTTTTTTTTTTACAGAACTAGTGATTGTGATCAGGATAAACATGGAAAAGGCTGTCCATTGGCCTGACCTTGGCAATTCTTTTACACTAATACAACATGGTGAAAAATGAGTACTAAACCTTGCTGGCTCCGTTCAGTAGCATTTCGCCCTCAGTTTGTCAGAGACAATGGGCACAGAGCGGGGGAGAACCAGGCTGGGTGTGTGAATTTTTTCCTGGTGAGTCTCATTGTTCAGTATTCAGTGCAAAATGAGGAGCGTAGCTTTGGGTCCTTGCTCGTGTCTCAGCTGCAGGGACACACGCTCCATCCCCGTTACTGTCACCCACCAGCACCGACGTGCTCACCAGCGCCCATCCGTTTAGCTTGTGTCCGCCTGGGAAGCACCGATCCCCACGGAGCCGCTGGGCTGGGAGCTGCTGGAGGGAGCCTCTCCCATTAACCCATCGGCAGAATAAGGAACAGCCTGGTACCGAGGCCAGGCAGCGGCAGGGAGTGTTCGGGAGCAAATTGCCAAAACCTGTGGATTAAGACATGTGCTGACAGCGTGGCCAGCAGCAATGCCTGCTCCGCAGAGCCTCCCGCGGCACCGGCTCGGGGCAGGGCCAGGCTTGTGCAGGTATCAGTGCTCCCTGCCATCCATACGTAATACCAGAGGCACGTGGGTTACTGCCCGGAGCTTATTAAAGAGCCTTCTGGAATAATTATCCACATGCTATTTACTGCTTAAAGTGGGAACGTGCACGCCAAAGGCAGGTAAACAGACCGCAGTTCTTCAGATTTGATATCTAGCTGGAGGAAGGACTACTGAGAAACTTGTTTGTCTTTTCTTTGTCTGTTCTCTGCAGCCATTGCCTTCCAAATTTTGGGGCTAAATTGTTTCAGTGACGCATTTCTGAACAGTGCTTGCCATTCTGCCCACTGAGGTGACCACCCAGCATCCATCATCTGGTTTAAATTTACCTTCAGAGAGTCAAAGGGCTATTGCTAAAGCAGCTCAATATACCCACTTCGCTCCTTCTGGCACCTACAGCCTCCTCAGGGTTACAGGGAATTATTCACTCCTTCTGACATTTATTATATTAAATTATTAAAATGCTTTGATTGTAGTGCAGTGTTAGTTCAGTGTCATGTTAGCAACACCGCACGGGCAGGGCTCTTAGAGCTGACGCTAAAAGCCTCCTTTTCAGAGCCTGAGGTCTCAGCTGGGACTCGACTGCTCTCGCGCACAGTTAGGCATTATGTGGAAGCGGGGGGAAGTAAGGGGGAAGCCACCACCTTTCTCCTACGCTGATTTTTGTAAGCCTTCCCCCCTCCCCGCTCAGCCTGGCACTGCTTACCGCCGAGGCTTTTCCCTCACTTTAGGTCAGGACGTGCCTCAGGAGAGGGTGCGAGCGCACTTCGAGGTGCATCTCTGGGGTGGCTCTGCCCTGGTGTTGGAAGTGGGAGAGACCCAGGGCACCTGTGGGTACTTGCAAGCCCTGGCCGTGTTGCTGTGCCCTCTTCCATGGGAAATGAAGCAGAAAAGGGGGAGTGCCCTGGGTGCTTTTTACAGGAGAGACACAGCTGGACCATCTCGTGAAGGGCTGTTTTATGTGGGCACGCAGGGAACCCAGGCAGGCGCTGAGAGGCTTTGGTAAGGTCGGACCGTGCAGTCACATTGCTGATTTTAGGAGAGCTGATGTTTAACACCGCAGCTGAAAATTAGCCCTCACCTTCCCAGCAGCGAGTGTGGGGGGCCTCAATCAGCGCTTTGTCCTGCCTCCAGCCGGGAAACGCATTTCCTCCTTCCTCGGTCCCGGTGGGTCGGGCAGGGCTATGCATCGCCGGCTCCCTCCCGCCGCAGAGCACTGCAGCTCGGTGCGTCCTGCCTTCCCGCCCGGGCTGCCGCCCTGGGTGACTGCCCTGCCGCAGGCACGGCTCCTGCCTGTGTCACAAGCAGGGGAGAACCCAACCAAGGGCCTTTTCAGCTCAGCCTTCCCCTGCCACTGGGTTGCGTGACCCTGCTGAGACAGCCACGCTCATGGTGTGGGACGTACCCTGGTCCCCACATCACCTGCTCTGCGAGGGCAGATCAGGCCGGGAAGTCCCACAACTCCCTGTGTGCGTGTACCCTTGGGCAACCGCAGGAGCAGAAAAAGCACTTTACGGGCACCAGGAGAAGCAAACCGCCTTCTGCACTGCTGCTTTCCAGTTCACCGACGTTCACCAGCTCCGTCTGCACAGGAAGGGATCCGATTTTTTTGGTCCCTTGGGAATGAAAGTATCGGACTCAGGAGGCCGAAATACAATCCCAGCAGCTATTGTTTAGAAACTGGGTCTTCAAATCAGCTCTTTATACGAGAACTTTAACTCATGGCAACAGTGTCCTCATGTGCAGGTAACACTGAATTCAAGCGCAGAGATTTAATTTGCTGCTTTTCCCCCACAAAGGAGCTGCCATTTGCCTCGCTCAGGAGATGGCTGCCCTGCAGCTTGCTGGGGACTTGCTGCCACAGAGCGCAATTGTTCTTTCCTCAGCTTGGGAAAACCAAACATCCTAATAAAAAATATCCATTTTAGAGGTCTGGGTTATGTTTTGTACAGAGCAGGGGAGAAAATGCCTGCAGTGCTCTTGGGTATGGAGTCAATGCAATGTTTATGCAAAAGGAAAAGCCATTAGAAATCACAGAAATGAGAAGCCTGCAGTTTCTGGCTTCCCTCATTTTTCAATACCTCCT